TGTCGGATTCTGGAGGGGAAGTCCAAACCATTGATCTTGTTGGAGTCGTGGAAGTCGACATCAGGTTTCCAGTTCTCCACTGGTGGGATTTCAATTGGTTTGCATGTATATCCTTCGTTGACAGAGGAACTTGCTCCTGGGGATGACATGGGTCTCGGTGATCTCGGTGTAAAAGGGTGACGCTGAGGTGCAAAGTTGGCGTTGTTGGGAGGTGCCTGTGAGCTCGGAGGCGGCGTGGGCGGAAAAGGTGCCGTAGGTGAAATCCATGGTGGGCGTGTTGGGAATGATGGAGGCGTAGGTGGCGGAGGCGGTATTCCGGGTGGGTTCCAAAATGGTCGATGGGTCGTCATGGCATAGTGCATCGGGCCACGGAACGCCGGTACTGCTTGGTGCCATCCATGTTGATGACGAGGTGGTGTGCGCGAACGATCCGGCTGGGAAGGAGGGATTCCATTCATATCAGTGCTGTATTGGGAGATCAGGCCCTGGGACGCCATGATGTAGAGAGGATCACGAGATAATAGGTCAAAAGGCGCTCGAACTGCCGAATGAAAGCTGCGGAAAGTGTCGAGGTGAGACAAGGGTAATGTATAATTGAAAAAGTGTGAGACATAATACGTGGTCCCAGTGTGTGAAACGTAAAGTGGTAACGAATCGGACGAAAGGATCAAAAACATGAGCATGCAGCGATTCACAAACCTTTTGAGGAAGAAGTGGCGGCAATACCGAATGTCGGGAGAAGCATTGTTACTCCAAAATGATCGGGCTGGGCCACTAGGCTCACTGTATCGCTGACGTAGAATAGTCGATACTTGTTTCGGTGCTCCTCAAGGGTAAATAGTTCACCAACGAGATTTGGAGTGGTGGGTCGAATGTCGAGAACGAGGTCGGCCTTCATGATGCTGGTCGCGAGAATGGTCTTCATAGTATGAGGAGCGGCGATCTCGGCGGCTGTAGGTTGAAGTGTCCCAAGAAGCATTGTCGTGCCAAGATCGGCGAGCATAGTCCCGAGAGCCAGAGGCAGCAGTCTCACGGTGGCTCGGTGTGTCGCGAGAGTCGTCTGGGGGCGGCTCCGAAGGTTCTGGGGCGTCGGCAGAGGGGTGAGGTCGTACTGAACGTGCAGAATCATCAGGGGGTTCCGAAGGTGCATTGGTCTCCGCAGTCTGGTGTGTGATCAAGCCCGGGAAAACCGTGTGAGTGGAGGCAACGTAGCATATAGATGCGGCGCTTGAGTTCATAGCCGTTGCGTTGTCTTTGCCCTTGGCGATGCCCGCAAGGTTGCACAAGCGTTGGATTTGGTCATTTCCTCCAGCTAGGGCACGGATGCATTTGGGTGAGCGGCATATGGCCAGAAGGCCTGATGGGTTTTGTCCTTTGCCTATTTTGTAGAGCTGAGAGGTACAGATCTTGACAGCATAGCCGGGTAGGTTGTCGGTGTCTGCGATCTCAGAGGACATTCCGAAGAACCCGTAACACGGGTATTGAGTCGGTATGCCGGCTTCGTTTTTTGTCCAAGTTGCCGGGCGGATGCAGTCTTCAGCAAGAATTTTGGCAACTGATTCCCAACTTGTTTTGTGGTAGATCAGGTAGGTGCCCATGTGTTCGCCACGGTAGATTGGTTTCTTCTTCAATCCTGTGGGAACCGTGATGGTCAGCAAGTTCTCTGGCTCAATGTAGAAGGCTTGTGTTTGCCTTGCGAGTTCGATATCCAGTAAGTCAGATTGTGCAAAGGCCCTGGCAATATTCCTGACGGTGGCTTGGCTTGCTTTGATCCAAATACGATGATTGTTGACGGTGCGGTATGGTTTAGCCAACTGTTCGAACATCGCGTCCACAAATTGGTTGAAGAGCTGCAAGATAGCCGGGGTCAATGATTGGCGTAGGGGAACAACATGATCGGGGCCAAGCTCAGTCAGGCAACGGACTCTATGGGGGTCATTGGCCGCCGCCACCATTTCATCGAGGTCGATGTCATTCGTGTCAAACTTGGTGAGCGAAATGGTATCTGCAAACTCAGAATTTTCACTGTCGCCGTCCGGAACTCGGAAGGACACCGCGCCGAGTGGTGCTGAAGTGTGGGTTGGTGGGTTGGTTGGTGGTTCCGATGGTGGTGGATCGGTAGGAGAATTGGGTCGAGCAGTGTGATGGTCGTAGGTGTCGGTGTAGTGGCTTTCGTTCCATGTACCCCAGGTGTCATCAGCATCGGGAGTGGGGATGTAGTTCGGATTGGATGGGTTTGCAGCAGGTCGAAGTATGACTTCACGGCCTCGGGATCTGTGGCGTGGTGTCGCGGAGCGTGGGCGTGGATGGGAGCGATGACGTCGAGGAACCACAGGAGAGCGGCGTCGTGGTGGTGAGCGTCGTCTGTATGGAGATGGGGTTCTGCGGCCCTTGTCGGGTTTCGTAGATGATCGATGACGAGGGAGAGGAGAACGAGGTCGCTCTGCACGTGGAGGAGAATAGCGATGGCGATGAGAATGTACAGAAGGTCGATGGGAACGTGATCTTGGAGTTCGGGATCGTGGTCGGCGTGTTGGTGGTGGTGGAACTTGTGGTTGGTGAGGAGAAGCGATGGCTGGAGCTGGGACAATGCGATGGTCCTGAACGTCCGGTTCGGTGGGTCTGGCTTTCGGTGCAGGTGGAGGCGTGGCGATCAGTGGTGGTGTAGGTGTAGGTGGCGGTATCGGTGGTGTAGGATTCGGTGGAGGTTCATCTTGTTGAAGAAGGAGTTGACGTTGTTCTTGTGCCCGTTGAGAATCCATGATTAATAGTTGCTGAGCTTGAATAAGTCGAACAGATTCAGCCAGTTGTTGTGCGGTGGAACCCAGGGATGCAAGTTCAGGTGACACGGATGAAGTCGGTGCTGTCGTAGGTGCCGGTGGTGCAGCGTGAGGAGGGGTTTTCGGAGCTGGCCTGCGCGGTCGATCCGGTCTTTTGTCAGGGCGATGCCTGGGAGCTGCTTTGACTGCTGGGGGCCGTGGTGAAGGCTCATTTGGAGAGACCGTCGATGCGTCCATCTGTAATGGAGGTTGAATGTAGTGAGGTGGGTATGGAGAACTGGGCAAAGGCGTCGGTGTCATAGTCGATGTAGGTGGTGTAGTCGATGTAGGCGATGGAGCCGGAGGGGAAGCCCACGTGGGTGGAGCGGTGGGTGCCATAGGAGATGGGAAAGTCGACGGAGCGGTGTGCACCATAGTTGGTTCAGGAGCCAAAGGCGAAGGCATGGTAGGTACTAGCTGTGGACCTGGTACTGCATGAGGAACCGAAGTCAATGAGGTGAACGGCAACGATGTGGGGGTTGATGTAGACGGCATGAGCGAGGCTGAGGATGACCATGTAGGATGCAAAGCCGAGGGATGTCCAAATAAATGTGCACTCGGTGTTGATTGCTGCCACGTCGAAGATGGGTTCGAAGGCTGCGGTGGAGCAGGCCATGATGTTGGCGGAGTGTTCCACGGATGCATCGCTTCAGGAGATCAGAACAAAAGTGAACAATTGTAAGAATTTTCCCATACAGGATTCAGTCCCTAACTGCCTACAAATTCGTGCGATTATTCCCTGCACCGGGACCGTGGTCAAGTCAGCCACAAGGGCATAAAACGGCTTTCAAGTTCCATCGAATTAGATGCACAAAATGTTTAACCTCACCAGACAACCATCAAGAAGAAGAATACCACACCTGCAAGACGTGGGCCTGCCTGATTCATATGTCATGACTTGATGCACTTTCGCTGCAAACGTTGCTGCAAAAAACGGAGGTTTCTGAATGTTCGGTATGGCTTCGCTTGAAAGAACAGATCACTGGGAGCCCTGGGACATCCGGAGCAGCAGGAGATCTCAAAATGGCTGACAAACCGCAAGGCTGATGGTTGCCCTTTACTTAAACGAATTACTAACTTAAAATGTGTGAATTCAGAATTCAAGACTGTCGACACTCACCCTGAAAAGGGTTGCCTCAAATGGCTCCATGGCACCATGTCGGAGCCACCATGGAAATCACACTAGACAAGAATGGATCATTATATGATCCGGCAGGAACTGAATCCTGAAACATGCAGATTAAGTGCGAAACTGAAATTAACAATGCATCCTACGAATAATAGAAGTACTTCAGAATGGTCATAGGGTTCAGAATCGACGTCAAAAAGAATGAATAAACCAGTAATAATACCATCGGCGAAGAATAACGTCGGCGAAACTTAGATGAATACCATCGGCGACGATGTTGTCGGCGATCATGGAAACAAAATAATACATAGGTGCTTTCTACGTCCTTGCTCTGAGGAAGGTTCTGATGCAACTGAATCAATAGTAAATGACCAAAAGTAATTCCAGATTGCGACAACAGTGCAGCAAATTGTATAAGATTGTGGTTGGGGTTCTTAGCTTGGCCCCTTGCTATGTCCGAAAAAAGCAGGTACGTGACAAAGGCGTCCCTTCGTCATATCACAGCAAATGATGAAGCGTCTTCGTTGAGTGGTGACTTCATCATTGCTCACCACTCCCCTGCAAATTAGTGAAAACCAATCAGAAGTTTTACATCTGTTCAGATGGTACACACACACACTGTTTGGGTCCCTTGCCGGTATATTTTTTTGGCATGAACTGTAGAGTGTGGAGCGTGGATGGTGCTGTAGGCGGTGGGGTGTGGGGTCTGTAGTGTGGAATGTAGAGTTCGCCGTCTTTTGAAGGTCACGTCTGGATTGCGGCTTGTGTTGCTCTTGCCATTCTACTTCTTGGCTGCGGCTTGGGTTGGCGCCTTTTTATTTATATATTTTTTTTTGTGATCCTTTACTTTACTATCTATTCATGATCCTTTACCCTCAAGTGGGCCCCTGGCCGGCTGTCGGGCGTCAGCCCTTAAATATACATATAATAATTATATATATATATATAATTCAAAAATCATATGAATCAAAAATAAACATCAACAAGTTGTCTTGTGAACATGAAAAACCTGAAAACACACATACAAACCATCTGCGCTCTGAGAGAAGGACGCTAATCACTTCATCGCGGTAGTCCACCACGGCTGGCAGGCAGTGGATGGAGATCCAAAGGCAATCAAAAATGAACATGCGATCTCTCTTTGTGGGGCACGTGGGACAAAATACATCAAAATACTAGTGAAAATTGTTAAAAACAAAGATTTAAACATTCCTGACGGAAAAATTGCTCCGAGGTGCCCCTTTCTCCCAATTTTGGTCTATGTTTTGTGCCCTATCGCACAACCAGCGAAAAAATATGTTGATCGCACGTATTTGTTCATGTGTTTTCTTGAGCCACAGTCTCAGTCTGTATGTTCCAAATGTTTTGGCTATACTTTAGGGTCTTTAAGTCTCCAAACGATCTTCCTGCTGAGGCACGACCACTGCTCCAAGAGTCATAGCCGAGGAAGTTCAGATATGGCCCGTCAACAAAAAGTGCCCACAAACCATGGTTGCACCTAGGGCAATAGCAAAAAAAAACATAAATGAAATTGAGATGGACACGGATTTCAAAATACACGAGGACCACAAAACATTCACAGCAAGCGCAATGGCAACAGCAAAGCCAGGCAAGACATCAACACGAACAGCATCGCCCTTGGCATCGGCCTCAACACCGGCATCATCATCATCATCATCAACCACAACCACAACCGCAACCGCAGGGCCAAGAGGGGGAACAAAAAGCCTTATCGCAACCTTGACGCAGCCACTCCAACACGATCGCAGTTGCAAACGGGCATATAGAACTACGCGTGCAGCCGCAGCACTAAGGAACCTTGATGCAGCAGTCACAATGCACAAAGTATCTCGGCACCTGCAAACTAGCATAGCACAGCGTCAACAGCAAAACAAAAAAGTCACCTGGAGACCTAAATTCCAATATGTAAGAAATTCGAGACAGTTTCCACGCTAACACGACGATGCCCGCACCAATCGCGCAAGCGAGACTATTCTCCGACCAGTGACGTCCATTTACCCGAAAAAACACAAGGTTTCGCGCAATCCCTTATAACTTTCAAATCTCAGCCTTGCTGTGGCAGTTCCAACGCGATCTTCCAACAGTAAGTTGCAAAACACCAAAGAATCAGAAGAGAAACGTCACTCGACTTCTACTCTACTGGACCCTACTCGACTTCTCTGCTCGCCTCCATTTTACTCTCTACTCTGCTCGACTCTACTCCTCGCTCCTCTGCTCTACTCTTCTCTGCTCTGCTCTACTGTACTCTTCTCTACTCTACGCCTCTACGCTACTCGATTATTTTCTACTCTGCTCGACTCTGCTCTAACCGACTCTACTTCGCTGGTGCCTGAAGCTGTACAAGCTGTGTATATGTGTATATATATATATACATATATATATATAAGAAAGAAAGAGAGAAAGAAAGAAAGAGAGAAAGAGAGAAAGAGAGAAAAAGAGAAAAAGAGAAAGAGAGAAAGAGAGAAAGACAGAAAGAGAGAAAGAGAGAAAGAGAGAAAGACAGAAAGAGAGAAAGACAGAAAGAGAAAGAGAGAAAGATGTCGCTGCTGCAAACTAAAGTTGATTCTCTCGCTTTAGTATGTGAATACGTGTCCGAGTCCATTGCGTGGCCTCGAAACATCTCAAAACTTCGGCTATGGTACACTGCTGCTTCCTGGGCACGAGAGCATTCTTGGCAGCCAGTCCGCCGGCATGCTGATATTGGGTCGCCTTGGACTTCCCCCAAAGTGATGTGAGTCAAGCGATTTGCATGATGAGCGATGCTTTCCTAATAGAGAGGTACAAAAATGGCTCGGGCGATCAGAAAAAGTCGAAATCGGGCACCTAGATCTGCTCATGGACCCAGGCAAACTATGATTTGACTCCGGCCTAAGAACATCACGCGAGAAACAAATCTACATCACTACACCTGCTACATTTGAAACATCTTGAAACGTGCTGCGTGTGCAGATGCGTCTGATGCACCTCATGCGTCTGATGCGTCTGAGCAGCCGCAAATCGAAGGTCGGACCACAGTCTAATGGCGCGGCTCTGCAGCGCCGAAGGTGAGTCACCCAGCCTTCCTGTCGCGATCAAAAGGCTTCACAGCATTTCTTGATTCTGCTTTCACGGGGAAATCATTTTGAACATTTTTGAACAATATGTGTCAAGATGTTTCGAGATGTTTTAAGCAAAGAGCTCAAAGACCTAGATAGAAAACCCGGGTTTACTTTCTTTAGCTTTTTCAAGCTCATGCTTGATACACCACAATAAGAACCACCGTCCAAGACCCAGCCCTTACTCAGCCTTACTCCGACTGTCCTGCCATGTGCTCCAAGCAACTCCAACGCCCTGGTCGGTCTCCACCAAAACCAGTGTGGATGAAGTGGATGAACTGGATGTAGATGAAATGGATTCGGTTGAGCCTCCATCCAAACGGACAGGACCTTGGCAAACTGATGGAGTTGGATTTTCTGATTTTCCTATCCCTTTGTCACGTTGTCATCTCAAATATTCTTAGAGGCACTTGCTGCGAAGGATTTTCCTATAGGATAGATGTTCATCCAACTGCACAATGCCGTACAACCCAAGAACTGAACGCAACGTGCTGCAACTCATTGTACCTCTCTTGGTGCGTTTCTTGGTTAAAAAACACAAAACGGGAAACCCTGAGAGTGTTTTTTGTGTGTTGTATGCGCCTGCAAAAAGATTGCAATCTCACTTTGCAAATTTTCCTTTTTACAGCATACAAAGCCAAAAAGAAACAAGATTGTGATTGCTCATCCCAAAGGGGGGAAGATGCAAAGATTTGGTCCTGTGATTCTATTTTTTGTTTTTGTTTTTTGTCTGTGTGGTATCTTTGTTTTTGGTTTCCGTGTTTTTTGAAGATCTGGCGAAAAATTGCAGTACCTAACTCTTTGCCGTTTCCTCCACCTTGGGGTTTGCAAACTTGTTTTTGGTTGTTCATTGTGTGCTTTGGGTTTGTGGTTTCATTATCAGACCATGTAAAAACCCATGGTAAAATGCAGGTATCAGTGGGGGAAGCTTAAGGGCTTGGGACATGGATTTGGCAATTTTGTTTTTCAATTATTTTTCAACTATGTCACAAAATTATGCAAAAACACAGGCAGCCAATCAGTTTGTAGGAATCATTTTGACATTGACATTGTTGAACCAAAGCCTTCAGCCAACAGATGTTCAAACACTTTAAACGATTTCCTTGAAAGGGGCGATGCATCTCTTTGAAATGAGTGGTCCCTTCAACATGTGCATTTCTTTTCACATGGTAGAGCATTCCGTTGAAGTAGGAAATGTGTACTTCTAGCATATTCTGCGAAAAAATATTTTTGTTAAAGGGACATTGTAGCATGTATTTAAGGTAGAGTGAACACCCGGACACTTCTTCAAACAATACATACTCTCTAGACTCTAGTGGGCATGAAGGCATCTTCATTTGTAGTTTGTGATTTAACAAATGATTACAGTTTTGAAGAAACATAAAAGATGCACTCTCACAGCGGCCTGCTCTCTAAAAAACATACAACACCGGCTGTGTGACCCAATCGTATTAGTGTGCATGTGGAAGCGCATGGAAGCACCAAGACAAAGAACTCATCAGAAGGATTGAACCCCGCGGCAGAACACAGATACAGGCAGCTAAAGCGGGAAAGAAGTGCCACCACCAGAGCGGCAAACGCCAAACAAAAACTGGGAGACACATCAAATACCGGGAAACAAACCCGGGAGACAAAGGGTTCACTCTAGTAGCCCGCATAGTGTAATGTGTAGAGTGTAGAGGGTGAAGTGCGGAGTGTGGAGTCCAAAGTGTAAAGTGTGGAATGTGGAGTGCACAGTGTGGAGTGTAGCGTGTACAGTGTAGAGGGTGGAGTGTAAAGTGTAAAGTGCAAGGTGTAAAGTGTGGACTGTAAAGTGTGGACTGTAAAGTGTGGTGTAAAGTGTAGAGTGTGGAGTGTAAATTGTAAAGTGTAGAGTGAAAAGTGTCAAATGTGGAGTGTAGTGTAAAGTGCGGAGTGTAAAGTGTAAAGTGTGGAGTGTAAAGTGCGGAGTGTTTAAAGTGTAAAGTGTAGAGTGCGCAGTGTAAAGTGTAAAATGTGGAGTGTAAACGCTAAAGTATTGCGCCTGCCACGCAAAACGACGTCGACACGTTGTGAAACATGTTGGAATGTCACAAAGCGCCACGCCTGCCACGCGAAACGAGACTACCCGACGTTTGGAACCTCCAAAAGTGACAACTTTTGCAGAACTCGCCATAGGCACGGCCATAGGGCCCCCACACGCGAACGGTTGCGAACGGTTGCGAACGGTTGCGAGCGGTTGCGCAACCTTAGTACTACGCATTCAGGAAAAAATCATAGACCATCTGCAGTGGGAGAGCAAATGGCCTTGAGGAAATGCAACATTTTGCGTATTTTTTAACCTCAAAAACACTCAAAAGGCTTCAAACATGCTCACACAGCATTCAAACACGACTCGAAACTGTATTTTACCAGGTCAACCGACAATGGGGTAAAATTACACTAGACCGGTAAGCGGCTGGCACTGTTTTGAACCAACGCTACAGAGTAGTACGATGATATGTACAATACATGGTTTTACTGCAGGAGTTTTTACACCCCCCTCGGGCGAGCAGGGACGACTGCGGAGAACGAATAACCCAGAAGAGCGTACCCTCGCGGGTAGCCAAGTCTGTTTGTTTGGTTTTGGACATTTTGTGCAGTCTTTCAAAGGTCCCTCTAAAAAGCTCAAGCCCGTAAAACCCAGCGCAGCTTTGCAAGGAAGGCACATTACCATGCCGCATCTTGCGCTATGCTACGAAAGAAAATCATCGTCTACCTGCGGTTCCAATAGATCCAACGGCCGCCGGCCTCGTCACGGTAATACCAAGCCCCACGCCAGAAACTCCATTCTCGACGTGCACCATAGTGATCACGATTCCAACTCCAAGAGGCATCCGGGCGACCGGAGCTTGCAGCCTTTGATGTGACTGTGCTTGCTGCTTTTGCAGTGGGCGGCGTCTCAGGCTCCAAGAATGGTCGTGCTCCTCCTTTGGGTGTTGGTGGTTCGGGTGCAAGAAATGGTGCTTCATTGGGGTCAACTGAGGCATCAGCGTGCGAGGCGTCTGCGCGAGCAGAGCTTGAGGCGGCTGTGTCATCATGTGCAGTGGCGGATGCATCAACTTCGGCTTTGCGTTTTCGCTCGACGGTGGGCGCGACCGTGGGGTCGGCCTTTTGACCTCCAGGACCTCCAGCCTTTGCAGCGGCGCTCTGCTTTTCTTTGCGTTCAAGGTTGCCCCGAACCAATGGAAGGTTTTCCTCATACAGCTTTTCGAGGAATTCAAGAGTGCCATCAAAAGGAACTTGGACGGTGCCCTTCCAGGTCAGCAGGCCGCGGAATGCGCCACGACGGCCGATGTAGTTGACATATTCATCCTCTGTAAAAATGTGGCGGCCGAACATGAAACCCCAAGTTTTCTTCCATGTTTTGCGGAATTCAACTGGGAACCCTTCCACACCTCGAGGTTGGGACATGAAAATCAACTTTGATAAGCAGTTTTCATTTTGGGCATTGGCGGCGACGCCAGCCGAGATCTGAGCTCTGGTCCTGGGTGGATCGGGGAGGTTGGCGTATGCGAACATATCGTCAAAGATACAGTCCTGCAAGCCCTTCCCCTCCCCGTGGATGCGGTCACAAAACGTGACGCCACTGGCAAAGCGATCTTCAACGTCCTCGTAGCCCAGTGCCTTTGCACGTCTGTGTCTATCGCGGCAGTCTTTGAGGACTGCTGATTCCACGGATGTGATACTCCTGGGGCCCAGTTCCCGGCGAAGAAGATCGGCTTGCTCATTTGTCAAAGCCGTCAACAAGCTGCCGCTCATTTTCCCAAACATTCCGAACCCGGCGAGACTCTGCATTCGCCGTTCGAGGATACGGGTCCTCCTGTTGGGTTTGTCGGCCTCTTTTGTTTCGCCACTTTCGTCCACTGGGAGTGGCTCAAATCCACATGTGGTGCAAGTCACTTGGCCACTGACGTACTCGACCTGGCAGAGGGGGCAGGAGCCCATGAAAGGTTCGCAGTACTTTGGTGCAATGTAAACACGGCGCGCCCTCGCGGGCGGCTGGTCAACTTGCATTGGGTCAGTGGCGGCATCATCGGTGGATTTGGCGTCATCAGTGGATCTGGCATCGGGTCGCCCCGTGCTGGTGTCATCCATTGGGTCGTCGTTTGCATCATCTCGGGCAGTCAGGGTGACCGCTCTGGATTTCGGTGCTGAGGCTGATTCCGCACCTGTCCATGAGCTGGGCTCGAGATTGCTCTCGGCGCGGGACCAAAGCACCTTTCCATCTTCTGAGATGCTAACCAGAAATTGGGGTGGGATGCGTTCTGAACACAAAATACCATCCATTTCTGTGCGACTAAAGATGACACCAGCTTCAACTGCTTGCCGCATTGCGATTTTGACTTCGACTGGACATTTTGCTCTTAATCCAGATCGATATCCCTGTGTGCCGATACAGTGTTCTGCCATGTAGATGTGAGCACGGCCACTGTTGACTGTGTCACCGCCGCCTGGGATCAGGCCGTTCTGCGCGATGCTCTTCCAACTGCTTCTCATCGTACGATGAAAAACAGTTTCAGGGACCTCAGTCATGGCACACAAGGGCACGCCTGTGAAGGCGGCTTTTCGCTCGGGGGAAACTTGGTCTGAGCAATACACCATGGTTGAATTGGCATAGAGGCCCCCGGCGGTCTTCAAGGCAGCTTGGGAATGACCCTGAATTGCACGAATTTTCACAGGATAATACGGCATGCCTAGGCCATTGTCGACAGGGAAATGGGAGATCTTTGCACACAAGAATTGGAACCTACTCTTGCCATGCTTGTCGATCTTCATTGCAGTGCCAAAAAGGTTTGAGACGGTGATGAAAACGTCTGGGGGCACTTCCTTGCGGAAGGCTTTGGCAAAATCCTCCAAGTCGATCCAAAGGTCTTTGTCCATTGGCACCTTGGCACAGGATCCATGCCCCCTGCAAACTTTATTGACACGGGTTGCAAAGTCGGAGAATTTCTTGTCGACGCGAGTCTGGCCAGCAATGGTCTCGACGTCGGATGCCGATAGCAGTTCCAGTTCGTAAGCAGTACCTTCAAAAAGGATCCCGGGTACATCGTCCCCGTCTGCATTGGTCACCATTGTATATTGGTATTCAGGCAAATGCTCTTCCATCCAATATGCTTTCACGTGGCCGGATGCATGTTCCTCTAAGCGCGCAGTTGCCTGCGGCTGGTACTGGCTTGATGTGGCTCTTTTGTCATCTGCGGGCTCATCCAATGGGACTGGTGCTGCTTTCGGTCGCGACTTCAACAAGACCTCAGCCGTTTGGACCAGGATTGTTGCTCTGCTGGGTGCAGCGGGCTCGCCGTCGCCGG